TGATAATTCGAAATAAATTATCATTGCTTTCTCTTAGGTTCCAAATTATTCATAGTTTTATTTCTGAATGATAATTTCTTTCTTCTTTTTTTCTTTTTGATAATTCGAAATTCGGACGAGAACGAAAACGGGAGAGTTTTCTTAATTTCTAAATGCTCTCAACGAACTGGTATTACGCGGAGTGTACAAGCACGCAATTTAGGATGGTTGTACATGTTCCTAATTTTGGGGGAACCGTTGCCGCAAGTCCTAAAACCCATTACTGATCAGATCTGTTCGAATCCGGTATACACGAGTTTACAATGTGTTGATGAAAATCCGAGATCTAATTAAAATTTCAAATTTCCTGCAACTAGAACAAAATTATCGGACTATTTCATAAACGATATTTCGCATATTGTAATTTTAATTAATAATCGTGTCGTTAATATTCCACGAATAACGTCATCATCCAGAATACAAAAGTAACGGTTCAAATATTTTTTTTTTTTTTTTCACCCCCAAAAAGATGATCGTCGTTGGTAATACATTTGTTGTTATTTAATTTTATATCGAAATCGAAAATAATCGAAGTGTAATTATTATTCGCGTACGTGTAAATATAATTGATATTGATCGAAATTATTATTATTACCATTAATAGCATTAATTATCGGGACAACAAAGTTTGATTATAATGCGTTTAAATGAATTGAAATATCACGAAATATATCGAAGCATCGTTGGAATCGATAAACACGTAATTTGCGTTCATCGAAATATAAGTATAAACGAATACAGAAAGAAATGAACGAGGATGAAAAATTTTAATTTTCCAAAAAATATTTTCTGAAAATAGATAATACTGTATTGTTTATCTTATAAATAAATTTAAACGCAAATACGATATTATTTACCTTATATAAATCCGTGTAAATACAATATTTACATTTACATTTGTAAATTTATTCCAAGATAAATACAAAGATTAAAAATATTTACCGTTTTTTTTTAACGAAACGAACGACTCTAAAATTTCCAACGATAATTACGATATTTATCTTGCGATATAGAAACGATGCTCTCGAATACTCTTGCAGATAAAAGAATATTGCTCGTATCTTATACGAGCAAAATTTCTACGAAAAATATTCCATGCATTTAACTAAAACAAAAATTATATTTCCAACTTGGCCACGTACACAGTAAATGATCGGCATAGAAATAACATAGAAAAAAATATAAAACGATGCAAATCGCAAATATAATAATTCTTTCCTTTCCATTTTCTAATTTAAAATATAACTCGATTATATTCTCTCATATCCCATAATACATATATTCTGGGCACAAATGATGGAGATAAATGGGAAATATTGTCGTAAATTAAATTCTTGGCCATTGTCGTTAACAACATTTGCAAACTCGATTTTGCGAACGTTCGGCGTTGTTGCAATTTTGCAACGATGCCAATTCGCTTATACGCTTGTTTTCACACTACGAAGGCAACAAACTATTCCGGCTTACAATTGGTCCATCGGTCCATCTCATATGCAATTTTACCCAATTACGGTAATCGATGATAATGAACGTTGTCAATGTTACTCCGATGATGTATCGCGTGTTACGTTCATTTACTGGAATAATAATAATAATTCAGCGTAATCGTAATAATTATCATAATCTCGCCTTTACTTCTTCGTCCTTTATCGAAATATATTTCCTTTCGTTATAAATCGCCTCCTCCCCTTTCTCGAAATTTGCAGATGCGAGGGCGTGGACTCGTTGATGGCGTACGTGCACATAGACAGAAAGAAGGAGAAAATAGATTCGTTCTGCGGCGAGAAACCGGCACGGCCTATCATGAGCAACGGACCACGTCTTTCTTTGGAATTTAACGGCATCACGTCATCCCGCCAGTCCCCAGGCTTCAAAGCTGTATATACCTTCACGGAAAGTGAGTAGTAGAACGATTTCTATTTCCTTTTCTCACGCGTCCATCGACGACAGAGGTATTTTATATTAAAACGGTAAACGGTGTGCTCCATATATCCGTTCGCTCCAGGCCAACCTCGCTCGAGACGATTGTTCGCCGAATTTACTTACAATTAATAATTGAAATAATTTTCACGCCCAAATGAAACTTATTTTATATTTTAAATTTTAATTTTAAATCGGTTTATATATTATTATATTATATGTATATACTATATATTATTATATATAATATTTTTAATAAAGAGATCGAAGAAAATCAAGGCGAATCTTTAATTCTTACACCGTAAACGGCTCAGGAATTTATTCGAATAAAGAAATCGTAAATAAGTATCGTTCCTGTTACCGCAGTTCGATCCAAATGGTGGCTGACGGTCGCCTCTCGAGCGCAAAGGGTTAATATATTATATGTGACAGTTTTGACGTACCGTAGGATAAAATTATCTATGCCAACGATACGCGTTACATATGTACGCGGTCCATTCAATCTGAATTCTATGATTAATTATCTGTCGCGTCATTACGATTACCCTTCGAAATCACGATTCCAGATTCGAATAATGATTATACTCGTTGATATCGAGCGATATCTGAAGAATGATATCTTTGACCATTCTTTTTTTTTTTCTTTTAATTTTGAAATATATAACACGATTCGATTTTTTAGACCTTCTTCTTTGTCCCATAAGTGGTTATAAAATAAATCCTTTAAATTTACATTCGAGTTTTAACCCTTATTAACTTGCAGAAATTGCTCCACTTTCCGAGAAATGTATTTCAAATCGTTATCCACTCGAAACGTTCGATCCTCTCGTAAATTATTATCGGAATATAAAGTAGTAAGTGCAACTCTCGTGCATCTTGTTTGCGTAAATATGTTGATCCGTGTTACTGCTAATATACATTTATACCAACATTGGATGATTCGATTTCTTCCAGCTAGATCATTTTATTCCATTTAACGCGATCTCTTCTTTCTGATTTTAAATTTTACGTTCATACATGTATATATAATATACCAATCACGATTCTTCGATCAACGAATCGAATATATTCAAATCGAAACGCGCGGCTTTATTCATTTCACCCGCAAAAACGTCACGAAGGTCGTTCATCCGTGCGTCGAATTAAATTTTCAGGATAATCGCAGCGCGAAATAATGTCCTCGTAACGACTCTTATTTGTATTCGTTTGACGTTCGAGAACGAACGTTTAACGAAATTTTAACGTTTTTGGAGAGGGGGATATTAAATTCGATCGCGGTTAAAACAAAAGGCAAGATCGCGAATGTAGAACGATTAAGAATCGTTTCATTAGGAAAAGTGCTTCCTACTTTTTCCAACGCGTTTAATTTCCAGTACAATTTTTATCGAGATTTATATATCGAGAAGTGGGGCGTGTCTCGAACTCTCGTTTCTCGAATTTTTCTCTCCCCTTCAATTTCGCATATTTGCTCTTAAAAAAAAAACCAAATTACAATGTTCGATCGCTCTTCGATACATATATTCCCAGATACGAGGAATTTCCTCCCTCCTTTCTCTCTATTATTCAAACTCTCTCCGTCTTCCCTCCCCCTCCTCATTTCTAATTCACCACTTTCCTCGGAGAGGAATAAAGGGAACTTCTCTACTTTTACTTATTTTCCACAAATTTCTTCCTTTATCCTCTCCTTTCCACCCTTCCTTCCTCTTCTTCTTCCCTAGTAACAAATTCATATATCAGGATATATCAGTCGTCATAAATCGGTTCGATGTGCTCGGGTAAAGATAGACGATACGCATCATTGAGAATAAGTTATCTGGGTATTTGGTGTATATATATGTGTGTACATACGCGTTCGAGACATCGGGGTAACATCGGTACATGACGTACGATCTTATACGTATATACGTACACACACGCGCGCGTGTCTGTTGCATGCACGGTCCGTTCGGTGGTCCTTTCTCCTCGCGCGCGCCTACGCCCCGTCAAAATTTCAATTTCCGTTGAGCATTCTATCGTGATGGCAATGTGTCTCTCTTCGTACGGCCGTTCATCATCCGCAGCCGAGGCTCAGATTGCACCGTGCACATGCCCCACATGGAACAAATGGAAAGGGCGTTGTGTGTGCGAGATTCGAAAAAAGAGAAGAGAAGAATTATTCCTTGGATAATTAGAAATTAGGGCTTCTTCCTTAGGTTTTCTTCTTTCTTTCTATGTTATATCTTCTTCTACAGTTTCCATAGATTCTTCTTTATATCGAGATAAATTACGTAGGTAGGTAGGTAATTTAGGTAGGTAGATTTTGGATAATCGAATGTATCGAGCCGATACATTATCCAATTAGAAATTATATTACGTGTGATACGGTATGATGCCTTTAGGCTTTTGAACGTTTACACAGTCTGTGTGTGTAGTTTATTACTTTGATTATATTTGTTAGTATTGCCGGGTATAATTTCTGATTTGCAGATATATTAATCCGTTTACGAAAGAAGATTATTTTTCTTTTCTTTTTCGTTTTTTTTTTTTTTTTCAGGCAAGCAAGTCATTTCAAAAGTACGATAATCATTTGAAGCGTATGATATGTAATCGTGTGATACGTAGTTATTTATTTCTTCGTAAAATTTCGCATTCTTTGTTATATTATTGATTGAAGTTTTTCATTTCCTCTTCGTAATTATCCATCGTCTGGCTTTCACAAGATACGTCATGGATTTAAAAAAGCGGTGCAAATTAAAAATGGAAAGGAAAAAAAAGAAAAGATTTATATTTATATATTGTATGTATATAAAAAAAATTTTTAAATATTAAGACACCATTTTTGAACGACAAGTTTTCAAAATCTTCTATTTGATTAAGGATCTGATATTCAAATTTGGATCTGATATTCAAAATGATACTAATTTTCTAATACTTTTGAACCTTGTATACCGTCGTTAAAAAATATTAATCTATTAGCAACATTTTTCCGTCAATTTCCTCCCGATATTTTTTATAAAAATTGTTCAAAGCGCAAAGTATAAATTTAAGAGATATTAAACTTTCAAAATCCATCGTAAGAATATTTTGTAAGATTTGTTGAAATTTTTCAACATACTAATTTCCTAGTACTTTTGAATCTTGTATACCATCGTTAAAAAATATTAACCTATTAGCAACATTTTTCCGTCAATTTCCCCCGATATTTTTTATAAACATTATGCAAAGTGTATAAATTTAAGCGAAATTAAATTTTCAAATTCATCGTAAGGATTTGGTGTTGAAATTTCTCAAAATGATACTAATTTCCTAGTACTTTTGAATCTTGTATATCGTTAAAAAATATTACACACATTTTTCCGTCAATTTCCCGCCGATATTTTTCATAAACATTGTGCAAAGTGTATAAATTTAGCGACAATAAAAATAAAAATAGGGGAAAAAAAAGCGCGTTCAATGGTTCAATTTCGTTTCCATTTCGTTTTTTCAAAAATGTGTATAAATTTAAATTTTCAAAATCCATCGTAAGGATATCTTGGTAAGATCTGGATATTCAAATTTCTTACGAACGAAAACTAATTTTCCCGGCAGCCTTTTGAATATACGCATGTATTCGGTATTAATTTTAACGGACAAATTTACCGTGTTAACCGTGTATAGCAACGCTATCTATATATATATATCTCTTGCGCACGTGTGCAAGCGCGTATTGTTGGCCAAGTTCCGGGGAAGTAGACACGGTTCCTATTATCGCGTAATTGAAACCCGAACAAACGGATTTCGAACGGATTCACAATGGCGGAGGGGAAGAGAGTGACGCGGCGGCCAAGTTCTTCGTTTGAGGCCCCCGAGTCAACGTTTCCCTCCTCTCTCTCTCTCTCTCTCTCTTCCCCCTCCGCTTCACAGAGAAACGAGCCACGTTAACGATAAAAAGTTTCTCTTTAATTGCTACGGTGGGATATCCTTCTGGGAAACTTCAAAGCTGGATATCGTCCGTGAAAAAGCCGTGGACTCGAGGATCGTTCATAACTGGATTTCCAGCTGGATAGGCCAGTGAACTCGTCGAAGCCATCGCCTAAATACAGCGGCGTTAATCTCGCGGCGTTGCCAAATCCTCGTCCGTCGAAAAATCTTTCGTCTTTCGGACGGACGTTAGGAAGGTGGAAAGATCCCGAACGAGTCGAAAGAAGCGAAATATAGTGGAAAATTTCTGGAAATATCGAATATCGTTCTCGATGGTACAACACCGGGTGCGTTTGAAAATCGAAATAAAATTGAAAACCGGTTAAAATTATCCGAGCGCCGGTTGTGCGTCCCGACTCAAAGCA